GGAGGCTGAGATACGGTCACCATGAGCAACATGGAGGTGCTGCCCCTCACCGGGAGTAACAACATTGACTCTTCCAGGTCAAAGAGGATCTGGGTTGATGAGCCCTGCCTTAGAGGGGACTCAAAACTACAAGTTCTCATCCAAACAGCTCTGAGGGACGAATCCAGTGTTTAAATCAACCAGAGCAGATGTGGTGCTCCAAGCTAGTTGGGCTAAACCACGGCTCCTCATGGTGCAAGGAGCCTTGGTTTGTGGTAGGGGTAGCACCTATTCAGACACTCCCAGTAGGGAGGACGATTCCGACGCTCCTGCTGTGTCTTCCAGAACAGAAACAATGTCCCTGAGATCTTCAAGCTCACAGCTGATGTCTCTTCATCCCCTACAGACTGAATCAATTTAACTGGATGATCTGGTTGAACTGTAAAGTGCCTTGAGAAAACGTGTTGTGAATTGGCGCTATAGAAATAAACTGAATTGATGAGCAAAACAATTTTTCTAGACTCACATGAGGAAAAGCTATTTTACGCAGCGCTGACTCCTGGGTGTTCTTCTCCACCTTGTCCAGCAGGGGTCTCACTACCAGCTGAGTGTCCATACCTGAAAGGGAACATCATCCTTGTCATTCATTAAGCTTTAAAGTGAGTTAATCAGCTTTTCAAACAGAACAGCAGCAGCTCATCCAGGAATTTTGCAGGATTGAAGGTTTGTTGTTGTTTTTATTTGGTTTTCCTGAGTTGGATCTAAATCTCACACAAACGGCCCCACTGAGGATCCAATCACCAGCAATCTGACCATGATGAATTAAAACAAAGTTGTTCTTAGTTGCTTAAGGTCGTAGGGAAATCATATTTAAATGTCACATCATTCTGGCTTTAAATAGATATTTTTTAACTTTTGAGACAATATGGTCAGATAAACAGTACATTTATATGCATGTACAAGTCAATGTCTTTATGCTACACTTGGCTTAAATACCGTATTTTCGCGACTATAAGGCGCATATAAACGTCTTTTTTTCCCCTCAAAATGTGTGGCGCGCCCTATAGTCCGGTGCGCCTTACGTGTGTGTTAAATACAGTAATGGCACACATAACTGAGACTGCGCCTTTTAGTACGGTGCGCCTTATGGTTGTGAAAATACGGTAAGTTAAATATGACCAAAATAGAAGACAGATTAAACAGAAATTTAATCTGTTTATGAAACTGGCTCTACGACTCAGATTAATTAACCTGATTTATCTGCAGTTCTGCTAAAAGATCTTGTTAATAGAAGCACATTTATGCTGATGTGAGGATTTAGCACCAACCTCCAGACACCACGGCCGTGTCGGTATAAACCAGCGCCCTCACGTCATGAGAGTGGTTTTTAAAGGTCCTGGTTCTGACCCACTGCCTGTCCTGCTGTCCCACTGTGGAGGAGATGAACTGAAACTGGACCACGGTTCCCTCAGAGGTCCCGGCCATCGCGCTGCTCTCATCCTGCCAATCATTCACACATCATGACCCATTCTGGAATGTTCAGCTCAGAAACGCACTTCAATGAGAACCCCACTCACCTGGGAAATGGACAGAACCAGGACGTCCCACTTTGACACCAGATGGGTTTGGATCAGAGTTCCAGTTAAGCCGTCCCAGATCTGGACCTTTCCAGCTGAATCTCCACTGATGACGGTGTGGTCGGACAGGAAGGCCACGCTCCAAACCACCACCTCCCTGCTCTTAGAGGCCCCCAGACCGCGCTCCACCAGCATCCTCTGGGTGGCGTGGCCTGGGTCAGAACCAGAGAGAAAGAAGGGATGAAGAAGCCCAGCGGGCGGCAAGTCCTACGTGGATCCGCTCAGGATGAACCTACCCGTCTGTGTGTCGAAGATCCGGAGCATGTCCATCATTCCCACGGCGATCTGTCCACCAGACGGATGCCAGCAGAGAGAAACGATCCGACCTGAATCATTTATTGGACACGTTCCAGTTAATCTAGGTTCAACAGAACAAGCAGAACCAGTCTGCCTTCCTGACTCATTTCATGCATCACATCAAATCAATTTCTATGTTAAACGGCCGGAAATGGAAAAACAGATTCAAACTTCGCCAACCGGACCGAGCCTGGTAACCAGAACAGAACCGGTGACTACCATTGGCCCCTGGCAGATCAGCTCGGTTCTTTACCCTCAGCATCATTTATCAGCAGGACCAGAGAAGTGGATCGTCACTGACCTTTCTGGCGGTCCAGGTTCCTCTGAAACTGGACTCTGTCCTGCAGGACGTCAAAGATCTTCACAGTGCCGTCCTCGCAGCCAGCCTGTGGGAGGAAACGCTCCCATCACATCTCAGCACAGATCAAAAAACATCTTCAGTGACCGAGGGTCCACCCACCGCCAGCAGCGTCCCCTGGCTGTTGCTGCTCAGGGTCCAGATCGGCCCCCCGTAGGCATCCATGCTGTAGCGGGGCCTCAGGTTCTCCAGGTCGTACTCTGTGATGGCCCCGTCCAAACCGGCGCTGAACAGGCGGCCAGACACCCAACAAAGAGCCTCCACAGCTCGCCCGTCCCGCCCAGGAATCACCTGAGAGCGAGGAGGTTAGGTTCAGGAAGCTGTCGTCCTCACCACCTGCTACGTGGGCCCTTACCTTCTCTTGGAAGTAGTTGTCAGCAAAGTTAAAGATCTCCACGGCGCCATCGGCCCGGGCCACGGCCAGCCGCTCCATCTGCCGGTTGAAGGCCATGGCCCGAATGGCGCTGGGCATATAGTCGAAGAAGCGGACTCGGTGCACCTTAAACTCCCCCATTGGACACTGGGTCAGAGAAAGAGACATTTCCATTACAGCATCTTTTCAGGGACAATAAAAGAGCAGAACTGTTGGAGGCACAAAAGCGCCTCCTGCTGGGGAACAGGAGGAATCTGTCTGAACCTCCTGTCTTTCTCTTCTTGACTGATCCTGCTTTATGAAGGCTGATATTTGTTCTGCTCTAAGAAGTTCTCCTCTTCACTTCATTACCTGCATAATCTAAACCTGTTTGAACCGGTTATCTGCCCACCAAGGCCATAATGGATAACCGTATGGAGGGGAGGATGGATCAGGAGATCCACCTCCAGACCTGAACCCTGGAGGAAACGTTCAGAGGGAGCTGAAGGTCTGTTTCTGATCTTCTGGTTTCAACATGAAGGACCTTTCTCTGTTAGAAAACCTTTCTCTGTCTGGTAGATCACATCGTGAGCTGTAAACTCACACTGTACGACGAAACTGCAGGGTTTCATCGTGCAGTTTGAGCTGCAGCTGCGTGCAAAGATTGAAAAAACTCCCACAGCGTATGCCCAGCTTAAGTCGGCAACACTGCTCTTCACACCTCTTGTTTTCAAATGGTTTTCTCCTTTCTTCTTGGACCTTTCTGAACATGCGCAGCAAATGGACTGATTCATATTACTATTTTTTACGTATTTATTAATGTTTTTCAAGGCTGCACTTTAAAAATGAAATGGTTTAGAGCTGTTTTAAATGAAATGTATTTTTGTTTACATTCGTGTACACAAAATGACAAAAATAAATATGTCTAAGTCTAAATAAGGAATAGTTGTATTAATCTAACATGTTAATAGAGTTTTAGGGGCCCCCAGGAACTTGGGGCCCTGGAGAACTGCCTAGTATTGCCTAATGGTAAATCCCCCCCCCCCCCGGAAAGCAGGTAGAGGGAGGTCAGCCTGTCAGCTGCAAATTATTTTATTTATTTTTAATAAACTTTATTATTTACAACACACAACAATACAAAACTGCATTGTGTACATATCACAAAACAACAAAAACATTTGCCAGGGGGAGCATTAACAGAAAACAATAAAAGTATATAATAAGAAATGACAACATAATCTTGTTTAAAGAAAAACAGTACCAAAGGTGACAAAAATACCAGATGCCACAGTGAATCAACACAATAAATTATCTAAAATTCAAATTTGATTGCAAGCCAATAAAGTTGTTTTTGGTCGAATTGTAAATATATAATGTTTAAATTCAATCAAAAAAATTGAAAAGTCGTTTTTTTTTTCTCAAAAAATTGCATTTATGAAGATGAAATTTAGCCTTAATAAGAAAACTCTTCACATTCATTCATTTTTTTGAAAACCGAACAGGACATTTACCCAATATAACTGAAATCCTATTGGTATTTTTGACACAATAAAAGTACAAAAGTGTTGCCAAACTACTTTAGAATTATGACAAAACCCAAACAGATGAGGGACCGATTCTGGGCAAGTGTCACAGAAGGAACAGCTAACATTAATATCAGAGTTGAATTACTTTAAATAGACTTTAACGGGGTAGATTCTGTGTATGAGTTTAAAGGAGACTTCTTTAACCTTATTAGTGAGAAGAAAGTGTCAGCTCCCAATTATCCCACTCAATCAGGTGCGTAAAACACGCAAGGACGGTGGCCCCGAGGAGCCAATCGCGGTCAAAAACTTTCAGCTTGAAGCAAACCTGGACTAGTTTAAAGCTTCTGGCTGAGATTAAAACGTCTTCCTTTCGGCGAAATAATCATTTAATTCCAGAATGATTAAGTCCAGACTTCCACTTCTGGATCCAGCAAACATTTAGCGCTCAAAACGCCTTTTAGTGGAAGAAAAGTCCCACATAGACATAAACCCGCAATATTACAAGCTATACAATTAGACCTGTTTATGTAGGGATTCAATGAACTAAATGACTAAATCAGAGTCTTGCTCTCCAAATAAGAACCAACTTTAAGGGACAGTCAGATAGGCGGCGCGCGGCACCATCAGAAATAACGGCAGTTAGCTCCGAAAGCTAACATAAAGGGACCTGGTGAGTCACTTAAAGGCAGTAAAACTGCTTAGAGCTCAACTACAGCCCAGAAACACGCTTTAAAACGTCCATTTATGATGGGTTTGAACAGAACTCACCTCAAATGTAACGCTGCACGTTTAAAAACATCAGAAACCACGTTGATGACCCGGATCAGGAAACACAGGCGGAAGTACGCCATGACGTCATCAGCACGCACCGTCGGTTGGTTCGCTGTTGCAGCGCGGGAAGCCGAAGTAAACAGAGCTGTGGTGGATCTTGAAAGTCTAGATAAGCGCTGTTCTTGGAGCGGATTGTTGGCCGGTTCGCAGCAGGATGGTTCAGATTATCCTTCGGTGAGTTTGGCTTCATGCGGCCGCAGCTTGGCAGGAATTAAACCGCTAAAAACCAACCAGCAGAAGCACTGCGGAATGGAAGCAGCAGCAGATTTATAAATCCCGTACATGGATTATACGGAAGAGGATTAGGTCCACTAAAGAACTAAAAATTTACTGATTTTTCAAAATATTATTTCAAATTAATATGGGGAAAAAGTCAGAATTCTCAGAATTCTGACTTTAATCTCAGATTTCTGACTTTTTTTTCTCAGATTTCTGACTTTAATCTCAGATTTCTGACTTTTTTCTTAGATTTCTGACTTTAATCTCAGAATTCTGACTTTTTTTCTCAGAATTCTGACTTTAATCTCAGATTTCTGACTTTTTTCTTAGATTTCTGACTTTAATCTCAGAATTTCGGATCTTAAAGTAGATGAAGGAAGAGATGTGTAGCACTCAGCTTCACTGATAAAGATGTGATTTTTTTTTGGGAGGGCCAGTTACATATTGGTGGAAAATGATGGCAACTTTTTACATGCCTGAGTGGAAGAGCAGAAGGTGATTAAAACAAGAGAGCTAGTTTAGTTTCTAAAACAGACATGTTTGCTAGCTGTCAGAATTCAGAGATTAAAGTCAGGATTCTGATAAAACCAGATAAAAATTCAGAGTAGGGAATTCACAGTCTTAAACAAAAAAACTGTTTTTCTTCCATACTGTAATTATAGATTTTGTAAATTCTTTTTTTTTTTTTGCAGCAGAAACCGAATTTAAGTGTGTCAAAAAAACAAAATTGTACAAGTAAGAATTACCTAGAATTCTGCTTGACTGTTTATCATATCTGAAATTTCTTCACAGTCAAAATAATGCAGATTATTATCAATAACTAGGAATATGGAGATCTGAAATGAATTTCTAGACATCCAGAGGGTTTATTCTAGATATGAAGAATGTCATTTTGTTTGTGTTATTGGGAAAAAGTATTCAGCTATGCAATCCAGTTAAATAAAGGAGATAAATGGTAATTTCTCATTATAGCATAACAGTAGAATCATAGCAGTCCTTCCAGGTTGATGTTCTGCCCTGTTCTGGTTAAACTAAATATCCTTTCACTAACTTAAACCCTGTGAAGGTTGTCAGATCACAGTTAATCTAAACTATGAGCTCTATAACTCCACTGCTGATGAATCCAGGTGTGCCTGACCTCAGTAAACATGGCCAGAAACACCTGGATTCATCCCTTCATCCATTGGCCTAATGAAAAACAGGAAACAAGAGCCGCCTTAAGTTCAGGAAGTAGTGGAGTTGTGCATAGAGCCCATTACAGACAGTTGCAGGAAACAGTAAATCGTTAGGAATAAGTCCAGAGTCTAGCTTGTTATAAAAATAATTACTTTTTATATAAAACATTCCTCTGCCTCAGACATGGCGTAGCCTTGCAGCTGTGTCATTTGAGCGAATACTTTATGAGTTTAAAGGGGTTCTATAAGAAATAGAATTTTTTATGGTAATTTAAAGGGAAAAAAAGTATTAGAGATTTGATACTAATAAATAAAAGTGGCCTGCCATTGTCTGTTCTAAACATGATAACATTAAAACTAGTTTACTGCTATAATGGTAGAGGATCAATCTATCTATTTAGGTGAAACCCCTTGTCAGCAGGTGAAGATGAAGCCTAAAAATGTTGTTTTGATATATGGGACCTGTTCATCATATCATGGAGTTCCTCCTTAGTCTGATGACACAACTATCAACTAAAATCTGCAAGTTGACATGTTTAAAAGAAATGAAGAAGTCCCATTGACAGTTTGCTATGCTTTAATAAGGAGCGGAGATCCTTATTAATTAAGCGGAATAAGGAGCCAATGAATCAATGCAATCAACTGGTTTTCCTTAGATAGAAAACTTTATGAATCTGACTGTATGATCTGGTTGATTTGTAAAGGGCCTGTGTTGTGAATCGGTACTATATAAATAAACTGAATTTAATTTTTTCGCGCTGTATTTATGACAGTGTAATGACAATAAAACGCTGGGGGGAAAAAAACACAAAGACATAGACTTGAGTTTCCATGGCTGTCCCTGCGAAAAATCGTCAGTAAACCTGACCTCTGAACCTGACAACCCTGAACGACTCCGCTTTGACCTTTCACCTAAAACCCCCCAAACTGATGGCAGAGAATACAGTTAGAATTGTGAATACCGGCTGCCGCCTGGAGTCTGGGGCCTGGAGGAAGGGCGGGCCGCCTGGTCCGTGGTTTTGGCTGGGGCTGGCTGCGGGGCCTAGGTGGCCTGCTGGTGGCGGGGCTGTCACCTCTGCTCTCCCCAAAGAAGGTTGGATGGAGGGGCATTAAGTGCCTGGTTGAAGGTTTTTTTTTTTTTTTTTTTTTTTTTTTTTTTTCTGTTCGGGGGGGGGGGGGGGGGGCGCGGGATGGGTGGGCCCCGGTCCCGGGGGGGGGCTCTTGCTGGGGGTGGTCCGGTCCGTGTGCGGGGTGGGGGGCCGGGCTTGAAGCAGGAAAGAGATGGGTTGGTGTGGCGGTGTCGCCGCTCCCCTCCCCTCACATCCGGATTTTAGGTTCACTTATGGGGTCATCCGATAGTCCCGGGACCGACCACCGGTGTCACCGGGTTTTTGGTCCTGGTATTATTGGATGTGAGTGTTATGTGTGAATGTGTGTCCGCGTTGTTAGTTTCTTTATTTATTATTATTTTATTCAATTTTATTCAATTTTTTTTTTTTTTTTTTTTTTTTTTTCCTGTGGTACGAGTGGGGGCACTAGGGAGGGAAGGCATGATTGAGATGGTGTGTTTTTTTTTTTTTTTTTTTTTTTTTCTCCCAGGTTGGGGTCTCAACCGCACCCTCTCCCAAATACATCTCAAGTCTCCGCTAAGTGCGGAGCCCATTCCCCCCGTCCTGCTCTCCCTCCGCTGGCTGGCGTCGGGGCTCACCGGTGCACTGGTGGAGCTGGGGGTGGATGCCCGGGGGACTGCTGGCTCATTCCTGGCGGCCTCTCCGCTGGCCCCGGCCGGCCGGGGCTTTGCTGGGGCTCCTGTCTGGGGATCGGGTGCCCTTGGGGCCTCGGATCCCTGGGGCCTGGGACTGGATCCGCTTCGGGGTGGGGCTGGGTGTTGTTCGGGGATTTTCGGGGTCGGTGCCGGTGCCTTCGCTACGATGCCGGTTCCTGGGCGGTGTTTCTTTCCTATGCCGGTTCTGTGGTACCGGTTCGGGGGGGGGGGGGGAGCTGCACGGCATGGTGGGGTGCGGGTCTTGGGTCCTGTTTTGGGCTCCGGTTTTTCCGCTCGCACTTCTCCTCTTGCTTATTTATGGGGGCCTGGAGTGGCTATGGCCGGCGCGTGGTGGGGGGCCGGGGCGGCGGAGCTGCTCTGGCCGCGTGTCAGGGCCTGGTGCGGGCGGCGGGGGGGGCGGCGGACGTGGCTGGGCTGCTTTGGCTTCGTCCGGTGGGGGGACGGCGCGGTTCGCTCCGCTCTGGCTTTGTGCTGCCCCTCGGGCTGCTGGGGGGGGGTGGTTGCGCCGGCTGCGGTCTGCTCTTCTTGCGGTTTTGCGCCGGGCGGCTTTTCTGCTCTCGGGCTGATTCTGTGCGTGGTGTGTTTCGTTGCGCGCTGTTGGCATCGGTCTTGGTGGGGTGGGGCTGCTCTTTGGGCCGGGGGGGCGTTTTGGGGGGGTCCCGCGGCGCTCGCGGCCGGTTCGCGGCGGATGCGCATGGGCCCCGGCCGGCGGGCGGGGCCTCCTGAGTGTTTTCCTGGGTGGTGCGGTCGCGGTGGGTGTTGCGGCCGGTCGCCGGGGCTTGGTGCTGGGGGGCGGGGCGTGTTTCGGTGCTCTGTGGGGCTGGGGCGTTTCGGTCGGCGCCGTGGGGGGGCTGGTGTTCGGTGCCCGGCCCTACTTCGGGGTGGCCGGCTGCCGGCGGGGCCCGCGGACTCGTCCCCGCGGCTCCCCGGGGCGCCGGCATGGCGGTGGCTGGGGGGCTTCTTCGTGGCTGTCTCTCCTCCTGCCTTGGTGGGGTCTGGTTTCCGGGGCTGGCCCCGCCTTGGTGCCTTCGCTTCTGGGGTCCCCTTGGGCGCCTGGGGCTTTGGGTCTCCCGGCGCTGGACTCAGTGCTCTGGGGGGTGTGCCTCTCCGGCTCTCCACAACCACTATTGAGCATTTTTTTCTATGGTTAAAACTTTACATGCACAAGTTCACCCTCACAAACAACTACAGGTGCTAGGCTTCAGGTACTTAGAGATTCACTTCCAAACAGAAACCCCACATTCATATCTTCAGGTAACACAGAGTACATGTCAGACTTAATAATATTACGTTAGCGATAGTTTCAAGGTGTTTGCTTTATTGTATATCTCGTACCATGTTTTTTGGTTGTGCTGTTCTTTTTTTTTTTTTTTTTTTTTTTTTTTTTTCCATCTCATTACAGGTGTTGAAGCAGACTGAAAATGTTTTGTCATTGTCTCCTTCCTATCTCCTCTTTCTTTCATCTTTTGTCCTGTTTTTTTCTTTTTCTTTTTCCTTCTTCTTCTTCTGTTTTTCTGCTCTACTTACATTGCAGTGTCCATATGAACTGTAAAACTCCCTGCATAATTATAATAAAGCAATTTATATACATGAAACAAGTGGAGCGGTATGGCAATTGCCATACCGCTCCACTTGTGAAAGTAAAATCTGTTGGGCTCCTTTTGGCATCAAGACAATTATTCTTATTGCCACCTTGCCAGACAGGACACTGTAAAAAAAAAAAAAAAAAGAATTGTGAATACTTTTCTTAGCGCCTATATAAATAACATGCTGTTCTAATAAACATTTTTATTTTAAAAAGTAAAAACAGACATTTTCAGTAGATGGAGCATCACTGCTCGCTCTCTGGAGCAGAGTAAATCAAGGTGTGGTCTTCTGAGGTTGTCCTGTCTTCCTCTCCTGCAGCGGCAGCGTGAATGGCGCCACCCCCGCGGAGTGGCTGTTGGTGGAGCTGCAAGGAGAGATGGTGTCCAGACACAATGCCGGCCTGGCAGGAAACGTGATGGGAGACCTTCTCTACACCAAGGAGGTGCGGAAACTTCTCACTGTTTGTAGCTTTAGCGCAGAGTGATTACCAGATCACAGAGAGGCCGATATGGACATAATAATCCATCAAGACCTTCAGGATTAAATGGCGTCAGAAGTTTAGTTTAGTTCAGATGTTTTGTCTCTCAAACAGAAAATATAATCATCTTCCCCACACTCTCATGCGTTGTGTCTTCTCTCCACCAGGGGGTGCCAGTGCTGATCGTAGGACATCACATTCTCTACGGGAAGGTGGTCAAACTGGAGAAACCCTTCGCCGTCCTCACCAAGCAAGTGGCGCATACACAGGATGGCAGCGCTGCTGATGTCGATCCGGTTACTATGGAAACAGACCAGCAAGGTCCCGCCTCCACGTCTTACTCTGTGTCAGCGCTCATCAGACGGAAACTGATCTTTAAGACTCGACCCAAACCCATCATCACTAATGTGCCAAAGAAAGTCTAGGATCTGAACTAGTCTGAACTGGTCTGAACTGATCTGAACTGGTCTGAACTGATCTGAACTGGTCTGAACTGATCTAAACTGGTCTGAACTGATCTGAATTTGTCTGAACTGGTCTGAACTGATCTGAATTGGTCTGAACTGATCTGAATTGGTCTGAACTGATCTGAATTGGTCTGAACTGATCTGAATTGGTCTGAACTGGTCTGAACTGATCTGAATTGGTCTGAACTGATCTGAATTGGTCTGAACTGATCTGAATTGGTCTGAACTGATCTGAGGGTCTGATTTAAAGTGGGAGCCTTGAATTCCAGGCTGGTTCTGCGACAGTGAGCTTCAGCTCTGTGTGTCTTTCTGTGTCTTTGTTTTTTGCCACCAGTCTTATTAAATGGTCTCTGACAGCAGCAGCTGTTCTGAGTTTCTTTGTTCGGAGCTTCTCCAGTTTTTTTTTAGGTCAATCTTGTTTATTTCAGTCCCAGATAACCTGAACAGCACCAGAATGTAGCTCAGCAGTCAAAACCTGAAGTGAACGCGATACGCCTCTAAAGCCCATATGAAACACTTTAGCCAGCGTATGCCTGACGTACAAAAAACCGTGCAAAAATGCTGCCTACGTTGGGTAATTTTTGGGTACATTTTGTATAAGTTATTTACCCTGAATTACGCCTGCACACGTCGAATAGGGCTCGGGATCCACGTTGCATTGTGGGACGTCGCGGTCATATTGACGGCTACGCAAACGTAAACATAGCTCTGATACAACGTTGTTGTTGAAAGAAGAGACGTAGAAGTAGAGAGAAAAAAGATGTCAAAATCCCGAAAAAGATCTGGAATTTACCAGGACACATTAAATAGAGAAGCCAGGGACCGGTATGTTGACAAAATCAGCATTATTAATAATTTGGATCCATATGAAGTTCCAAACAATGAGTGGAGCACCGATGAGTGAGCGCCTATACTTCAAAACAGTTCCGAAGCTACAAGTCCTTGGAGTCTCATATGCAGTTCATGAATGGATGGGTTCAGGAGCTGCAGATCATAAAGCCAGCAAACAGTGGGAACACAGTAATCCGTACGAAGGTAAGCTGTGATCAGACGGGCTCTGGAACCTGCTAGTTTAGCAACTGCTAACCTCTAATGCTAACAACCACTCACGCATGCAATGTACTTTTAACTAGCTGCTATGTGTTTCAAAGGTGTAGTTAGTAACGTTAACTACCAACCCTCCGGGTTTCTCACGTATTTGAGCCTTTTCCCGCTGCCGTTTTTATTATTCTCCCGTAAAAGATCCCAACTTTGAAGGAAAGAAACAAAGTAGGCTATAAAATAAAACTGTGCATCTTTAACTTATCAGAATGAAAATGCAGGGAACACACTCTCAATGACATTGGAATACTGTGGAAAGTTATGTTCGGTCGTCTTACAGCCGCGATCCAAGCTAGCCGACGACTCTTTATCTCTGACGCTTGGTCTCCATGGCTACGCCTCCAGGCAGGAAAGCGGTGGAAAGTTAACCCATTTTCTATGTTTTTCCCATGGCGATCATGTGTTGAGCTTTTACAGCCCACAATACAGCAACGGTTTACTATGGTTGAAATCAAGTTAAGGTGAAATTAATCAGGCTGAGAAGGAGTACAGTATGCGGTAGTCATAGGCAGTAGTCTGAGCTGCGGTAAAAGAGGCCGTCAATATGGCGGCAACGCAAAGTGCTTACGTCATGACGACCAAGCCCTATTACGCCAAGTACGTCAAGAAATTTTGAGCATGCTCAAAATGTCCAGATGTATGCCAGCGTGTGCTCATACATTGGGCATAAGTTACAGGTAAGTTATCTGATGGTTGACATACTTTAAGCGTAGGTTACTCATAAGTCATCGCAACTAGCTTATTCAAAACTCATCAGTAACTTCTGCGTAACTTAACAAGAACTTATCTCCAACGTATCTGACTCGTTCCAGACGAGCGCTGAACGTGTTTTTAACGGACAGCTACTGTGTAATAGCATATTGGCAGGTTTCTGGTATAAAGGGGTTCACAGGAGGAAAACGATTTTTATTGGATTCTTTATAAATAAGATTGCTGCTATAAAATATCATTGGCCTCAAACGATTGTTTTAAGGTAGCTGTAATTAAACCTTTTCTAAAGAATGAATTCAATTAAAGGAAATGATCAGTATTCTGTGGTGATAAGCTTAATCCTGTAGCAGTTTAATTTGGTTTCACACAATAAGGTCATACGTCGCTGCGTACTTCGTCACGCTGCTCTTATCTCCTCAGACTCCGACAGAAAAGATCCCCTCTGGTTTTGGCTGTAGAGGTTGATAGAGGCTGATAGTTATCATTGAAGATTTGTGAGCTTATCACACCCTGGTATGGGCTGCCTGTTTGATTAAAACAGACGTTTTAATCGAATTAGGTCAGCTCCTCTGTCTGGATATATAGTTATAATCTTCATTTTGTACGTGGCCAAAATTTGGAAATGCAATGAGAGCAGTTTCCTCTATTGATAAGGCTGGAGCCATGGATGTCTAATCATCTGCTAATGTGTATCATGTAAAATAAGATCGGGGTTAATCGGGGCCACTTCCTGAGAGGTGAGCAGCTGCCTTCTGTAACTAAGCAACTTCTCTGATCTGAGTAAGATTACAATTTCTATCAGAATCTGTTGTCATGTCTCCTGGTTATTTAATGCATATAAGTTATGAAGTGTTATTTAAAGAGTTTGTCCTGAGTGATCTCTTTTAAGGGAAAAGAACCGGAGAGGTAGAGCATCAGGGTGCATTCAAAGAGCCTATCTTTAACAAAGCCATGTGCCCTGAAACCTCCTAACTCTGCTATCATGTGTTGCCTTTTATTGTTTGGAAGGCTTAAACACCCCCATAATGATGAAGGATTACTTCTTCACTACTTGAGGTTGAGCCACTCAAACTGAGCTGGTATTTTGAAACCTAACTTGTTGCAAAACTTTTTAACATTAAAGGCTGATTTGTACTTCGAAATCAGGTCGTCTGTGTTTGTGTCACAGTTAAGGCAGAGACGTCCCCGCCCTTTCCACAGACACTCTATCCCAAACTGTAGCTAAATGCAGACAGTGCCGCAGACAGAGGCCTCTGATTGGTCAAATCTACCTCTGCTCTACACTATGCGTATTTCCTGTTTGGTACTTTACTAACTTGTTTTGTTTGTATGACCGCCATTGAGGAAAACGACTCATGAAGATGGACCAGCTAGAAGAGCAAGGTGCGCGAGAACGCTGGGATAGAGTCCTGCAACGGGTCGGGTACCCGCGGGTCCCCTATGGGTCACCCGCTAAAATGCCCTTTTGCGGGTGAAAAATACATAAATAAAAATAAACGGCTCGGGGGTCGGGCGGATATTTTTTTAGTGCGGGCGGGTAGTTGGTGATTTTTTTTTTTTTTATGCGTGTGTGTTATGGACATCAGAAATGTTCTATTAATCAGGCACTGGGGTCACCCTTGTTGTAGCTTAAAGCCCTGCCGGCAGTGTGGGCTTCCCTCCAAAAAGGTGACAGTCAGTGCATACACGTCTGCTGCAGTGTTAATGGCGCTGTTCTGCAGCGCAGCGTACTATAGCCTATTACTTCATGTGTTAACGGGTCGGGTTGCTGGTTAAATATCAACGGGTCGGGTTCGGATTTGAGTTGAAGATATCCGCGGGTGACGGGTCGGTTTCGGTAGTCATCCTAACGGGTTCGGGCGGGTGTGGGTTCGTAAAACTCGACCCGTGCAGGACTCTATGCTGGGACCCTTTTTCCACCAGGATCCCCGCTCTTTCGACCTCATGTTCCTCCGTTGTCACACAAATTTGCCGCCACTTCCTCACCGCCTCGGCCATATCTAGACCCACAGATAGTTCCTGATTGTCCCTCTGGCGTTGTGGCGTGGAATAACATAGCACAGACCACGCTTCAATATTTGGCATAAATCAAAAATATCTACGAAAAGCTTACTACGACACACTGCTGCAGGAATATAACCAGCCCTTAAGCAGACATTACATTGATGTCAAAAGGACCCAACATTGATGGTGTTGTCTACTTTCAGTTGTTGCACAGAAAATGTTTTAATACTGGTCCTACTTATCTAGAACCTTCTGATTAGATCCATGCTTATAACTGCCCTTGTTTCACAGGTGAAGTACTGCACTGCCACTGCTGACTGATCTCATGTCCTTTGTCACACAGGATCAGAATGGTTTAGATCACTCCTATGTGGTGAGAATACTGCCAATAAAACATAGGTGTAAAATCCAACTCAATAAACAAAAACATAAGATTTGTATTTAATTCTTGTTGTCAACGCATGCAAACGTGTATGAGATGATTCATCTGGTAGAATGAAAGTTTAAAGTTATGAATAAAACTTTGCTACAAAAGGGCACAGGTACCAAATTAATAAGTCATTTATCAGTAGCAATCGACGGACCTAGTGAAGCTGTTACACTCCTCATCTGTTGGCGGCAGTAATGCAGCTGAAAATCGTTTATAAACTGCCTTTAAAGGAAAAGATGATAACAGAACCATCAATTGAATCCTATTGCACATGTGTTGAAAAGTATTTAAGCAAAGACATAACATTTGATGGATGATGATGATGCAGGTTTCTTTTTGTTCTTCTCGCCTAATACTGGTTGGCAAATAGCCCTCAGGTTAAAACCTGTCACCACGAATGTCACGGCTTCATCAGGGGTTAGAAATTCGTTCATATAACATGTTTTGTATTAACCTCACTCCGCCACATGGATTTGCTGGATTTGCTCCGCATATCCATCTGGGAACTTTCCGTTGAAATAATTTTGGGAAGGGGCGAAAATACTGGTTAGCTGATTGGCCTATGTTGGTGATAGACGGGCCAAATAAACCAATCAGATCAAGCATATGACGTACTAACAGAGCGACGACGAAAACACAACCACCAGCCAGGCTACTCTTGCCGAAACCAGTCGGGAGAAGAGCAAAAACATCTCCTCTGAGAAAAGCCTCCAGAGCAGTGTTTTGCTCTTCTTTCAGTGAAGATATACTCTGTAATTCCGATAAAACTTGCTCGATAGCCACGCTAACGCTAGTTTCATCGGCTTCTCGTTGCGTCACACCTCAACCCGCCTCAAAGCCAACGCTGATTGGACGTTCGTTTGGTGAACGGCTCCAAATTTTCTTTAACGGACTCCAGACTGATCTGCGAGTGAAACCTTGAAAGCTCACGAGATCAGGATGGTCTCACGAGGCTAGTTTTGTATACCTTGATGTCAAACGTAGGTATGAGATGAAAACGGAGAACAAGTCCTAAATCCATGTATATATAATCCTTTATATTTATGAATTCAGACTCCATCGCTGATTTTTTTATTGACAGTTATCCTTTTTAATCATTTTCTTTGAATATGATTAAATATTCATGAGATGCAAGAAGGACACTTTGACTCTGAGGGAAACTATTTCATCAAAAAGGAAACACAGTTTATTGGAAAAAGCAAAATGATCTTTGCTTTAACTTAAAATCTGTTTGATCATCTGAAACATTAGTGACTAAAAGGACCCGAAACAAGAAACCTGTACCCTTCCAGAGTACTCTAGTCGCTTTGGAGAGTTTGGTCTCATTTCAGGAAAAGGAGGTTTCCCAGTGCCTCCTGATCTGATGTCTCAACTCCTGTTGATTTCTTTCAGCTGGAAATGAACAGAAGAGAAAGAGAGGAGATATTTCTCCAGAAATAAAACACTTACCTCAACATCAGAGATGCTCTCGGTATAGAATAAAAAGAAAAGCATCTTTTTGGACTGAGGAAGCTTCCTGTGAGGCTTCAAAATGGAAGATGAAGAAACAAGAACTCTGATATCTTAAAAAAACATGTCTTTCTTTTTAATGCACAAGTTATTTTTAAATCTATACATTTTAAATGAAAAAATGCAACAAAAACATAAATTAAAAAAACAAATTCCACTGAACACTCGGTACTGGATCTATAACTTAAATCTCTTTGGTGTTCAGTCTTTTCACACTGTTTCAAAGAAATTTTTATGGAAAAGGACCATGTTCAATAGAAAAACATCTTTTTACAAATGAAATTTGTCACCTTAGAAAAATGTTTGAAAACCTCTGAATTAAACAACTGATGGACTTGGACCTTAATAAACAACAAATGGGTCAGAAACGGCGCTGACGGTCTAGCTGCTTGCAGATGTTCAGGTTTCTGCTGGAAGGCAATTGTGCTGTTTTTGACCACTGATTGAAATCTGCTGGGTTTCCATGAAGGGGCTTTGAGCCTCTACAAAGCAGCCATAAAGGCTTCCTGATCTAGTTATTTTAGGGTTTGTCTGCCTACATGCCATCATTAAATGTCTGCTGAAAGTTTTTTTTTTTACTTTCTGAATGCTTCCTTCCAAAATCACTTTCCTTTCTGACAGATCTTTGCTTTATCCTTCAACATGCATAATGGTGTAGTGTCTCTTTAATATACTCTAGTTTTGCTATGCGCCACTGCTTCTCTGTAGAGCGCATGGGGGACATGTTTATGGACATCCTTGGTCCCGTGTTTCTAATGTTAGTAATGTTGTTTGAGCAACATAGCAGCCATTCAACCGGGCTTGTAAGGTTGGTGAGGAGATTGTTTATTAAAGGACAAAACAGTGGAATTCCCAGTACCAAGGTGGTTGAGAGTTTTTGACTGTCCTGTTGACTCTGTCACCACCCCTCCAAACTTAACCCTAAACATTGCAAACCTTAATGTGGTCTTGATCAGTAACTTTGCAAACTTTCTAAAGGTTTTTAGTTTGGACCTTTATGCTTATTTTTTAGTCCAGTGTTTTTACCTGAACTTGAGAAAACACTTGTCATGGTCTTGGTTCTGTTGTTCTTTACTTTGCTCCTTGTTTCCTAGTTTTTTTTTTTTGGTTTAATTCCTTTTTTGTTGTAATTTCTAGATTTATGTTAGTTCTCATGTTTTTCCTGTTGTCCTCTTTTGCACTCTTGTTTGTGTTCCTTTCCCCTTGGATCCCTCGTTGTCTCCTCTCACACCTGCTCCTTGTCAGCTCGTTAGCCCTCCCTTTGTCTCTGTCTGCTATATATGCTCTTTCCCCTGGCTCACACCGACTCCGGTCTTACCGTTGCGGTGTGGTGGGTGCGGCGCCGCAGTGATTCCAAGTCATTAAAAAGACGTAAACCTCTCTCACCGGCTGCTGAGCTGTCCGGCTGCGGTTACCGAGACACTCCGGCGCTGCAGAAAATTCAGCGAGAAAGCTATCCTTGCGGCGTGCCGGAGCCCTCCGCAACAAGCTCTCGCAAATATCACGGCACAAACAGGAAGTTTTCCAATGAGAATAAAATACTTCCTGTTTTTTTCAAAATAAAACACGTTCGTTTGCATGTATTGTCATTCCTTTCTCTCCGCCTTCCCTCTGTACAACCCATATGACGTCACTGATGCCTGCTGGTAAGACGGGGTCAAAACTTTGTGGCCCCATCACTTGATTCATTTACAGCATTTACTCGACACTTCCTTATTTGGGCCGAGTTATCGCGTGAAGTTATGTGAACTCAAGTGAACATCTGTTCTCGCGAGTTAAATCTCCAGACCTGTTGCCGGAGCCGCAGAGCCACACCGCATCGTAATCAAAAGGGCGGTGGGAGAGGGGGTGTGCAGGAGTTGCGGTCTCCGTCGGCTCTGTAACCGCACCGGAGCCAGTGTGAGCAAGGGGTCCCTCTGCCCCATTAAACTGCTAGAAATCTCCTCAGCCTCTCTGCCTCTGCATTTGGGTCCTCCAAACCACAACCAAACCCTGACAATAGGAAAACATGAGAACTAACGTAACTCTAGAAATTACAACAAAAAAGGAATTAAACCAATAAAACTAGGAAACAAGGAGCAAAGTAAAGCACAACAGAACCAAGACCATGACAACACTGATTTTTTTTTACTTCTAAAGGCATAAGCCATTGGAAAGCCTGTTTATTTCCCCTTTCAACATTGGCATATCGGTAGGAAAAAGCATTGCAGGCTTGAGCAACAACCAGACCCTAAGAAAAAACCTTGCCAAGTTATCTTTGCTATGTGAAGCAAAGACTCCTGTTCTGACCTGATGTTTAGATTGGATGGTTTAAGTTTAAAGAAACACTGCATAGTGGTTTTTAAACCAATTATCCCTTCACCTAACAGTTGCCTCGGTAGTAGTGTTAAACACAACCTGGTTGCTGCTCTACATGCATGGTCACATACACTCACCGGCCACTTTATTAGGTACCCCATGCTAGTAACGGGTTGGACCCCCTTTTGCCTTCAGAACTGCCTCAATTCTTCGTGGCATAGATTCAACAAGGTGCTGGAAGCATTCCTCAGGGAGTTTGGTCCATATTGACATGATGGCATCACACAGTTGCTGCAGATTTGTTGGCTGTACATCCATGATGCGAATCTCCCGTTCCACCACATCCCAAAGATGCTCTATTGGATTGAGATCTGGTGACTGTGGAGGCCATTTGAGTACAGTGAACTCATTGTCATGTTCAAGAAACCAGTCTGAGATGATTCCAGCTTTATGACATGGCGCATTATCCTGCTGAAAGTAGCCATCAGAATTTGGGTACATTGTGGTCATAAAGGGATGGACATGGTCAGCAACAATACTCAGGTAGGCTGTGGCGTTGCAACGATGCTCAATTGGTACCAAGGGGCCCAAAGAGTGCCAAGAAACTATTCCCCACACCATGACACCACCACCACCAGCCTGAACCGTTGATACAAGGCAGGATGGATCCATGCTTTCATGTTGTAGACGCCAAATTCTGACCCTACCATCCGAATGTCGCAGCAGAAATCGAGACTCATCAGACCAGGCAACGTTTTTCCAATCTTCTATTGTCCAATTTCGATGAGCTTGTGCAAATTGTAGCCTCAGTTTCCTGTTCTTAGCTGAAAGGAGTGGCACCCGGTGTGGTCTTCTGCTGCTGTAGCCCATCTGCCTCAAAGTTCGACGTACTGTGCGTTCAGAGATGCTCTTCTGCCCACCTTGGTTGTAACGGGTGGTTATTTGAGTCACTGTTGCCCTTCTAGCAGCTCGAACCAGTCTGGCCATTCTCCTCTGACCTCTGGCATCAACAAGGCATTTCCGCCCGCAGAACTGCCGTTCACTGGATGTTTTTTCTTTTTCGGACCATTCTCTGTAAACCCTAGAGATGGTTGTGCGTGAAAATCCCAGTAGATCAGCAGTTTCTGAAATACTCAGACCAGCCCTTCTGGCACCAACAATCATGCCACGTTCAAAGTCACTCAAATCACCTTTCTTCCCCATACTGATGCTCGGTTTGAACTGCAGGAGATTGTCTTGACCATGTCTACATGCCTAAATGCACTGAGTTGCCGCCATGTGATTGGCTGCTCAGAAATTAAATGTTAACGAGCAGTTGGACAGGTGTACCTAATAAAGTGGCTGGTGAGTGTAGTCCTATAAAATGGCACCTAATTTCCTAAGCATCATGTCTGAAGTCAGAGTGTTATGTTGGTCAGTTTGGCACAACCTGTTTGTCCAAGCCTGTCCTTAGTGTTCACACCTTAGTAACAGCAGCCTCATTCGGGTCCCATAGAACAATGGAAACCAGTTTAACCAATCACAGCTTCTCCTCAGATGTAACCAGCTCCCTTATTGTCATATTTTAACCAAGTGTACTAGTCCAACCAATGAGTGAGTTCAACTGTTTTCCATGGTCCAATGGACCAGATGGGTCACAGAAAAAGGTCAATCGAGCACATAAAGCAAAGAAAAAGCTAATTAAAAAAGTATTTGAAAATGCAGTTTGAAATAGAAAATGAAAAATAGGATGAAGAATAACCTTTTTAAATGTGTGAGTAGAATAGGTATGAACCTCTTGTGTCACTTTTTAAATAAACTTGGGATGATCTGGATTTCATTGAATTTGTGTTTAGGTATCTTTTTGCTCTCCTTCAACACCCCCCACCCCCCCTTTACAGATTTTAAAACCTTCCCCTGAGTGCAAATGTTCTATTTCATCTAGATATTCTATATTCTGGTTCTGCACTCTCAATACCTATGTGACTGCTTGGTTCCATAGTAGTCTCCTTCAGATTGTTTGTGTTTCCAGAAGTTTGGAGGTGGATTCTGGAAATCTAAGCACCTATATTCTAAGATTCTTGTTTTTCCATCTTGGTTCTGGGTAGTTCTGTCAAAAGGAACAAGTAGAAAGTGATGGAGGAAGGAATACAGCAACTCATGACCACTATGTGGTGCCGAGATAAACTACCAGCGTCTCACCCAAAGCTTTTGTTCCTGCATCAAGTTGTTCAGAAAGTGAATCATAAGGCTGTTTTCTTTATTTCTCCCTTCTCTCTACTCTTTTTATTTTGTCTTCTTCATTCTTTCTTAAATCAGACTTGCAGAACCCTTAGATCAGAGCAGCTTAGTAGATTTCTTCTTTCCAGTTCTTTGAGGCATCCTCCTCTAATCTAAAACAGCTGACTAATCTTAACTCAGTTTTCTCATTTCAGATTAAATGTCTGTCACTAGCCGTCCCTGAAAGCCTACATAAATATCCATCTGAATGCTCTCTGACCTGAATAAAATTAGGGGAAAGCACCGTCTCTTGTAATTAAGACTGACGTCTTTGTAGCACCAGTGATGAAGATCCGAGCTCTTTGCTCTACCTTACCAGAGTCAGACCTTTATGTATCTGGGGACGGATGTCTATGTCATCGCTGTTGTTCAAGACTCTGCATATGGCAAGTGATACTGCTCCTCTCTCTTGTTGCATCGTTTAGCTACAATGGCCAAATAGAGGACCAGCAGAATGAGCCAGTAGCAGGCATACAGTACTGTCCCTGCTATCAACAAAGCCTTCTCTGTTTCGCTGAATGGCTCCTGGGTTTCACAGTAGACGGTATATGCCACCCCCCCGAGCAGCACCAGAGCCCAAACTGTGACCGGCACAGCACCAATGAGGTTGACCACGATCTTTCTGCGTCCAGAAGTTCCCCATCCAGCCTTGTTGATGGTTAGCAGAGCAAATATTTTGGCAGGGAGCAGGCTGGACATATAAAGCAGAGAGTAGAGAGACATGAAGATCATGACGAGACTTCCACGGAGAAAGCAGGCATAGGTGGCCTTCACCATCCCAACCAGCTGCACCGTCAGTAAGAAGAGCAGAATGTTCCAGAGGCGACCGCGGTAGAACAGGTGGATGACTGTTGCAACCAGAAAGAAGGGGAAGAATCCGGTGACCACAGACTCATAGGTCATCCACAGACTGTGCTTATGGAACCAGAGGGCATTGTAGAGCCATTCACGAAAGTAAGACTTGCTCCATCGGGTCTGCTGGTTGAGCCAGCGCAGATATTGTGTGGGTGTCTCCGTCTGACACTGCGACCGTGCTGTAAATTTGGTCTTGTAGCCAAAGCTGAGCACCCGGTTTGTCAGGTGGCGGTCGTCACCAAAGCTGCACTTGGAGCCCAAGAAGGTTTGATGGTACCAAGGTTCCAGGAAGCGTTGCAGCAAGGAGTTCCTGTACATCCCCAAAGGGCCACTAATGCACTGGACACAGCCGAAGTAGGACTGACAGGCTCGCTCGATGTTGAAGGCCATCCAGTAGCGTACGCTGCTCAGGAACGAGATCCACGAGTCGTACTTGTTGAGGATCTGAAGAACAACATGAGGGTGAGAAAGATGTTGGAGATTTAAATGTTAGTGGGACAACAATGATTCATTTTCACTTAAATTGAACCAGATTTCCAGGACTTGGGCTGTTTTCATTCAAGACTTGCCCAAACTCTAGAAACTGATTTTGCTTAAAATGCATTTTTGCTTCAGCTTTATAGGATCTTTATATCAAAGATGCTTCAATATTTCTTGAATACGTTGTTCGCAGTACATCCATTGTTAATCTATAAATACCTGGAAGGTAATTTGATATGCAAACCTTTTTTTTTCATTCAAAAATATGTAATCAATCCTAAAAGGAAGTTTAATGTTGCAGGAATTCATGAGCAGTTTTTGATTGTGTTGTTATACAGCAGTAGTCATTCAAAATTTCCCCACTTTCCTTGATGGACCCTTGGCTGGTCCCTTACAATTCCTTATTAAACATCAATCTTTGTACTAAAATGTTATTTCTGTCATGAATTGTGGACATTAAGATCTAAAGAGAAACCTTATCTCCCGGTCAGACTCTCAAAGTCGGCCTGGCGGAATTGTGTGAAATGTTCTGAAGAAATCAAAGAACATGATCCTCAAAGTGCTGTCTGCCTTGTCAAACTGACAGTGGGTTTGTTGAAGCAGGTGTGTGATGGCATCTTCAACTAAAACTCCACTGCGTTAAGCAAGAAATCTAGAATAGTATTCTAGAATACCTCCAGCAATTTCTGAATTGTTGCTGTCCAGGCTTCAGTCCGTCTTAGACAATGTCTCACATCCTCTACTGGTCCAGCAGATGAGCTCCTTCAGCAGAAGACTTACCCAGATGCACCACAGAGCGCCACAGGATTCATTCCTGCCTGTGTTCATCAATCTCTACAACGCCTCCCTCAAGTGATTCAGACACCCCCCCTCCGTAATTGACATTTATTCATTCTTTGCACTGTTTTTGCACAATGTCTCTACTACTTTATTTGGATCTATAGTTATACATATGCATATATATACATATAGAGAGAGATGTTTGTACATCGGGAGCGTGTAACAAAAGTAATTTCCCTCTGGGATTATTAAAGTATGTCTGAGTCTGAGTCAGAGATACCAAAGTCTTCTAATGGATGACCTTCTCCAGCCCAAATGGCTGATATATCTTAGCTGACTCAAGGGTGCCCTTCATCTGATCTGGGCTCTGAAGAGGAAGCTCCTTTTAGCCAAATGGATCCAGGATCTCATCCTCTCAGTGAAATCCAAATCTAATGGTCATAGATGAAGATGGGAACGTAGACTGACCACCTTTTATCTTCACCAACTGCTGGAACAGGCCCCTCGGTCGGCTGTCTTTAAATAGGAAATGCGTTGATATGGATCCCTAAACCATTTTAAATATGGATTCAAGCAACTCTGTTGTTATTTATTATATACTTGACTTCTGGACAACAGGGACCCGAAGTTTGAAGGTTTGCTAGATGGTTTTCCTCTACATTGAGAGGACTATGACCTCTGGCCGCTGCAGGAAACATAAACACAGTAAAACAGTCCCACACAACTCCTACAGCAGCACCCTACCTGTACGTCTCCCCCGACTCCTCCCACTGTTGGATCCTCCTCAAGGACCTTGAGCATTTCAATAGTGCACGCTGGGTCCAGGACAGTGTCAGAGTCACACACCTGTAACGAAAGACACAGGGTTGAGAAATCAGAGGGTTAAATTCAGGCTGCAGCTGCTGCAGGAGGGAGGTGGTTGACTATGCTTAATAATCTGCAGAAAAATGAGGAACTGCTGACAGACAACTTGATCGGATCATTGATGTGGAGAGAAGCTCTGACCTGAAGCAGAGTGCAGCAGCTGGTTGGCCCAACTGAAATCAGATTGTTTCTGTTCACTGAAGTCAATTAGTTATAGAAATGTTCATATTATTGTCTGTATATATTTGACCTGCCATGACAAAGGGATGTTTTTACAGTCTGATGTGACTATTTCATTATTAGGTTTATGACCTAACAAAAAAAGAAAAAAACGGTAATAGGTTAGAGCGGAGATTTGGGAAACAAAACTCAGGATTTCTGCAGCTCTATAGCTCAGCCATAATCTCCATCAGACACAGCAATCACTTTAAAGACAGAAACTCAACCAATCATTGATTTAACATCATTGCATTTTAGATTTAAATACCTTGTTTTCACAAAGTAGATTAAAATAATCTGAATCTTTTGGACTTCAGTCTGCTATTGGAGCTACTGGAGATGTCTCCATATATGCAGTTTATTCATCGTAAAGTCATTTTAAAATCTCTGTTCTCCAGATGGTCAACTCTCCTTTTCACCTACATATCTTCTCTTGACCAGAATAACAAATATGACAGAAAAAGATTATAGTTTTAATATAGTGACATTTTGTTTATATTCTAGTTTGTATTTCTGTCTGATGAAGGGTGTTTTAAAGTTGGGAATCTCCATAGCAACCAGAAGTTTTTTGTTTCACAGCTTATTTTGTTTTATATGAATCTATCATCAGTTTGAACATCATGAAATACTTTTTGAATAGCATGTTTTCTAGCTTTTGACCAAAGATATCGTCTTTTAAACATTATTCTTAACAGTAATTGTGAATTTACATTTTTTTTGACAAGTCAAGGGTGAGAGGATGCTTTCTCTGGGAGCAGGTGGTGCTAATAACGTCCATGTTTTTCCTGCACTTTAAAGAGTCACAGTATTGTTTATCTGATGTTTTTTTTTTCACATTTATACCCCAGACGCCTCACTCTGGTTGCATAAAAGCTTTTTCTGAAACTGTGGAGCTGTAGTATTATTTATATTTTTGTGTTTTATTCTTTGTATTTGCTCAGTTTGTTCGTAAATAAAACCTTTTGTGTTTATTTACAATATCTGCAGAGATACTGAGCATGTGCGGGAAGTTCAGTTCAGTTTATTTCTAAGGCGCCAATTCATAACACATGTCATTTCAAGGCACTTTACAGTTCACCAGATCATACAGTCAAATTGATTAAAAGTTTTCTATCTAAGGAAAACCAGTTGATTGCATCGACTCATTGACTCGAAGGCTATCCCTCACAATATGCTTGTAGCGACAGTAGAGAGGTAAGAAACCTCCAGCAGGACCAGACTCAGTGTGAGCGGCCATCTGCTGAGGCTGAGTAATGGGCTAGGGAGGTAAGGTAGAAAGCAATGGGCTAAGCCACTTAGCAGCTCCCTACAAAGTGTGGAAAAAATTAAGAACAAATATTGAGGATCTTTACTTCCTTGAGGGATCAGATTGAAAACTTTCAGTCTGATCGTTGAAGAAGGGATTAAGCTTTCAGATGGTAAATGTCCTGCTCTCATGGTTTCCTCTTACAGCTGCCAAAATACGAGTGCTTAAGATCAGATTCAATTTTGGGTTCATCTAGAATCCACTTGCAGGGAAAAAGTCATAATAAGGAGTTTAATCTGGGCTCATTCCAGTGAAAAGGTTTCCCCCTCAGACAGTTTTTATTTGTTTCATTAAAATAATTAAAGTCTTGATGCTTTATCCCTGTTTGCCTTTGGAAGGAATGGCAATGTTCTGACCGGGAGGTTCAATGGAGGATTGGCCAGAAACCTAGAATTGCTGTAGATCAGTTCATTCAATTAGTATCAGTTTATCTTCAACCAGGCAAGCAGGCATTTTAACGCAAGCCACTGTAGGATGATCAGCTCTGGTGTCTCCATCAGCTTTCTGATTGTTCCTTGGCACTGCCAGCAGATGGCGCCATATCTGTGTATGTCAGCTCATTGCACCCAGAGCTGGAATATTATGTATTTATAAAGGACCATTTAAACATTATCAGGTAGGGTGTTTGTCGTATATAACTTTATTTTTTTTTACCAGGATCAGGTGTTTTTGGTCTGTTTAGCGCAAACATAAAACCTGGCTATGAACCTTGAGGTTCCTAGATTTGCATGTTTTGGCCCTTTAGGCCCAACAGTTTATTACTTCTGTGAGTATAGCTGCAGGTTAAGCAGGGATTTCTTATCCAGAAAATAGAAAATCACACTCTAAAGACTTCTGATGAGCATGTCTGAGGAAGAGGAGGTAGCAGATACTGGAGGCTGGCAGTAGTCCTGACCGGTTATTTAGACAGAGTTTGTAAATCAGATAAAAATAACCGGAAGCTTCACTTAAGCAGACATTTTGAAAGAATTTCAAAAAGCACATGGATTACAAACAGAACATGAAGAAATGGAAGCAACTCAGGGGCGGAGTTAGGAAATTTGGGGCCCTGGGCAAAAATATTAAGAGTGCTCTGATGGCCTTTTAGCAATGGAGTTTTATCAAAAACATAATTAATGTGCACAAATAAAATAAGGAGCGACTCTTACCTGAACATAGTCCACACTGTCCCCCAGAGCTTTGAATGCCGTGTACATCACCTCTCTTTTCCCTCCCCACTTCTGCATGACGCAGGAGTAGCGGCGCCCCCTGACCAGCCGAGAAACCTGGGCCGCCTCTTCCATGTGCACCACACTCCTCCTCCCGCCCCCCACTCCTCCTGCTTTTACACCATCGCTGTGAAAGTTCCCTTTCCACACCATGCTGCCAGCCTGGTCAGCCCCACCCATCACCTCCTGGAAAATGTCCATCATGTAGCGGTCCTCTGGTCGGTTCCCGTCCACCACAAGCACCACCTTCAGGCCTGGGAAAGAGATCCGCCTGACACTCCGCAGACATTTCCTCAGGTAGTCCGGGTCTTCCTGATACGCTGCAATGCAGAGGGCCACGGAGCGACGGAGGTGCTGAGGCCGGGCCGGGGTCCTCATTCGCCGATGCTCCAGGAAGGCAAATAGGCTCTGGAGTAAGAGGTGGAGGGAGAGGAAGGCACCGTAGAGGCCAAAGGAGAGGTGGTGCTGCTCGGTGTGGATGAACTGGTAACCTTCACAGTAGAAACCAAACATGAGCATCACATGTTCTTCTTATTGCATTGCAGTGAGTGAGAGAGGACAACCTGTGATGTAGGCCAGTAGGATGGTGAAAAGGACCACCGCAGCAAACAGGGTGGTGACCACAATGTTCAGCGCATTTCTGCAGCGAGAGGGCATCTGTTGAGGTCAAAGGTGGATGGAGCCCGAACAGGAGTCCAAGCAAATCACGAACCGTGGGAGAAACAAGTGCAAAGGTTTGAAAACACAAACTAGACAGGTTTAAACAGTTTTTTTCACGAAGGCTTTGACCAAAAAGGAACCCATCTCTGCTCAAATATGGCCACCAACTCCAAACCTTTAGCTTCAGCTTGTTTCTGCTGATCAGAGCATTGATTCTGTTTGAAGGCCTCCATCACAGCAAGAATCTTGGTGTCTGCTACCCTAAAGCTGTGGTGCAACACAGCACCACGCCAAGACGGAAAGATATCAGCAGCTGCCAGCTCTTATCATTCAGTCTGAGAAAATCTGAAATTCCTCTAGAATCAACAGATCATCGGAAGGAAAACATTCAACACAACCGTTGATCGGCTGAAAATCTACCATTAAATAACCCTTAATCTGCAGTTAATCTACCATTAATTTACCATTAACCTGCCATTAATCTACCATTAATTTACCATTAACCTGCCATTAATCTACCATTAATTTACCATTAAACTGCCAATAATCTACCATTAACTTGCTGTTAATTCACCATTAATTTACAGTTAATCTGCCATTAATCTCCATTTATTTACTTTTAACCTGCCATTATTTACCATTAATCCAACATTTATTTTATTTTTGATATTAATCTGCCATTGAATTATCATTAATCTGCAGTTAATCCAGCCTTAACGTATCGTTAACCTGCCATTAATCCACCATTAAATAACAGTTAAACTACCATTAAATTACCTTAATCTGCAATTATCCAACATTAATTAGCTGTTAATGTGAATTTAGTCCACCATTAAATTTCCATTAATCCACTATTTATTTACAGTTAAGCTGCAGTTCATTTACCATTAATTAACTGTTAACCTGACATTAATTAACCATTAACATTACATTACATTACTGCAACAAAATTACCACAAATCTTTAGTTAATCCACCATTAGTTTAGTGTTACTTTACCAATAATCTGTTGTGAAACTACTGTTAAATTACAGCTAGCTGCCATTAATCCGCCAATAAATTACCATTATCTGACGTTTATCTATGATTACATTTCCGTTAATCCACCACCATTATTCTGCTGTAAATCTACAATTAAATTACCTTTCATCTACAGTTAATCCACCATTAATTTACTGTTAATCCACCATTAATTGTCATTTAGTGTTAATCTGCCATTAATCTACCATTAAATTACTGTTAATCTGCCATTTATTTACTATCAATTCACCGTTGAAGTGACGTCAATTCACCATTAAATTTCCATTATTCCACCATTAATCTAGTTAATTGGCCGTTAATCTACCATTAATTTACTGTTAGCCTGACATTAATCCACCATTAACATTAAATTACTATTGATCTGCAATTATATTAACATTAATCTGCATTTAATCTAATAAAAACAAATTAAATTACTGTTATTCTGCAGTTAATCCACCATTAATTAACCGTGAATCCACCAATAATTTAGTGTTACTTAACCATTAATCTGCCATTAATCTACCTTTAAATTACAGGTAAATTGTCACTAATCTACCATTAATTTACTGTTAACCTCACATTAATCAACCATTAACATTAAATTACTGTTAATCCGCAAGTAAATTACCATTAATCTGTAGTTAATCAACAATTAAATCACTATTAATCTGGAGTTAATCCACCATTAAATAACCGTTAATCCACCATTAGTTTAGAGTTAATTTAGCATTAATCTGCTGTGAATCTACCGTTAAATTACATTTATCTGCCATTATTTCAATTCAATCCAGTTTATTTCTATAGCACCAATTCACACGTCATCTCAAGGCAATTTACAGTTCACCGGATCATACAGTCAAATTGATTCAAAGTTTTCTATCTAAGGAAAACCAGCTGATTGCATCGACTCATTGGCTCAAAGGAAATCCCTCACACTAAGCATGCTTGTAGCGACAGTGGAGAGGAAAAACTCCCTTTTAACAGGAAGAAACCTCCTGCAGAACCAGGCTCAGTGTGAGCGGCCATCTGCTGAGGCCGACTGGGGTTCAAGGAGACAGAAGCAGAGATACAAAAAGCAGCTGTAAAAGGCGTCCCCGTCCAGGAAACACACAGCCAGGCAGACGAGCTCCAAGCCAGCTCCCATGCCAGAGGACGAAGAGAGCACATCCAGCCAGTTAAAGTCAAAGAAACAGGACCACACTGGAAAACAGGCCGATCTACAGCATCTATAAACCAAGGTGTTGATGGCAGCAGCACAGCTGATGTTTCTCTCCAGGATGGAGTCACAGTCAAACAGGAACAGACCAGATGAAGCTACTATGAGAAAAAGCCGAGAGAGCACAACGTTAGAGATAGAACTAACAGATTCTGCAGAGTAGAAAAATAGAGATAGAATGAAAAAGGGATCCCTATGTCCTCCAGCAGTCTAATCATATAGCAGCATAACTATAGAGATAGCTGTGCCACTCAATACATTTTAAGCCTACCGTTAAAAGTAGACAGGGTGTTTGCCTCAGGGACAAACCACCAATAAATTGCCATTACCTGCCGTTAATCTACCATTACTTTACTGTTAACCTGGCATTAAATTACCAATAATCTGCAATTAATCTGCAATTAAATCACTGTTAAACTGCAGTTAATCCACCATTTATTAACTGTTAATTCACCATTAATTTAGAGTTACTTTACCATTAATCTGCCGGCATTCTACCGTTAAATTACAGTTAATCTGCCATTGATCCCCCATAAATTACCATTATCTGCAGTTTATCTATGATTAAATCCACCATTGCTAATCCACCAGTAATTTAGTGTTAATCAGCTGTTAATCTGCCATTAAGTTACTGTTAATCGACAGCTAAAGTACAGTTACTCTGTTGTTAATCTACCATTAAATGACCGTTAATTTGTTGCTGATCTACCATTACATTTCCGTTAATCCACCATTAATTATCCATTAATCATGTAAATCTACAATTAAATTACTCTTAATTTGCTGTTAATCTACCATTAAATTACAGTTCATTTGTCATTAATATATAATTAAATTACTGTTAAAATGCCGTTAATTTACCATTGAATTGCCTTAATCTGCCATTATTTTGCCAATAATCTACCTTTAATCTACAATGAAATAACCCTTAATCTGCAGTTATTTCACCATTAATTTACTGTTAATCTGCTGTTAATATACCGTTAGATTGCATTTAATTAATCAGTAATCTAGCATTACATTACTGTTAATCTGCCATTAATCTACCATTAATCTGCCACAATCTGACGTAATCTGCTGTAATCTCCTGTTACTCAGTAATCTGCCATTATTTTGCCATTAATCTACCTTTATTCTGCTCTTAATCTGGCACTAATCTATCTTTATATTATTGTTACTCTGCCCCCACCAACTGACTCCTCAGCGACTAATGTGCTGATTAGTTAAGAGCCTTAAAACAAATATAATGTTATGTTTAATAATTTCACAGTAAACATGTATAGATCTCAGCAGGAAGTAGCCACATTGCCTGATTATCAACACTGCACAATTTGCAGGAATATATAGTCTCTCAGGGAAGTTTAGTCACATTGGATTCAGTCTCAACAACTGGCCATAGGGGGAAGTTAGATATGACATAAAGACGTCTACACAGGGATTGCTGAAGAGTCAATGTGTCGAAGCAATCGGCTGGCTTTGCTTTGATAGAAAACTTTGTCTCTATAAAGTGACCTAAGATGACATGATGTAAATTCAATTGCATTCAACCATGAAAAATGATATCGAAATATTTTATAAAGGTTGAAAATTGGTGTTGGTTTAGAGCTAAGGACGGTATTTAATTTAATTAAATTCAGTTGATGTATATCGCTACAATTCATAAAACATGTCATCTCAAAGCACTTTACAGTTCACCAGATTATAGAGTCAAATTGATTCAAAGTTTTCTATCTCCTTCAAGCTATTTAAATTTTCACATCCCCAGAAGTTCTGGGCGAGGAGGAGGAGTAGCAACAATCTTCCAGTCTGACTTACTGATTACTCCCAAAACAATTAATACCTACAACTCTTTTGAACATTTAACCCTTAATTTCCCTGATCCAAATTTCAAGGCAAGAAAACCTCTTCTTTTTGTAACTTTGTATCGTCCACCAGGTCCTTACTCTGAATTTTTAGATGAGTTTTCAGAGTTCCTTTCTGATTTGGTATTAAATACTGACAGGGTCATCATAGTGGGAGATTTTAACATCCATGCTGACATTGAAGGCGATAGCTTAAGAGCAGCCTTTAATGCTATCTTAGACACTATTGGCTTTGTTCAAAATGTGAATAGTCCCACGCATTCTCATCTTCATACTTTGGATCTTGTGCTGACATACGGCATAGAATGTGAAGAAATAACAGTATTTCCTCACAACCCTGTCCTCTCTGACCACTTTCCAATAACCTTCAGGATTACTTTAACAGAGTTCTCCTCCCCCAAAAGAAGGTTCAATTTTAGTAGATCTTTATCAGATAGTGCAGTTATAAATTTTAAAGAATCTGCTTCACTTTCTCTCTCATCTGTGTCACTGAGCAGTGCTGCAGAGTGCAAAAGCTTAGCTTATTCCCCTTCACAGGTTGATGATTTTGTTGAGGGGGTTGCTAGTTCTCTGCGTATTGCCTTAGACAACGCAGCTCCTTTGAAAATGAAAACCGTTAAAAATAGAAAGCTTGCTCCTTGGTTTAATGCAGAGCTGCGTACTTTGAAGCAAAATGCTAGGAAACTGGAGAGAAAATATCGCTCCACAGGCCTGCGAGAGTCCTTCCTAGTCTGGAAAAATGGTTTACTGCTGTATAAGAGGACTCTTTGTAAAGCAAGAGCAGCATACTTCTCCTCATTAATAGAGGAGAATAAGAATAATCCTAGATTTCTTTTTAATACAGTTGCCAAACTCACCCAGAGCCATAGCTCTGTTGAACCGTCCATTCCACCTGCT